GAAGTGGAGAAGAAAGGCGTTTTACTTACTTCTCTGTGTAGGGTGGAGGAGAATGCAGACCAACGCTTCTCTCCTCTGCTCTTCTCGTCGCGTGGATATGCAGCGCCCGTCTCAATCCCTAGATTTGACACGGCACCGCAGCGCATACCACACCACACCATCTTCTCCACGCCAGCGCGTCTCACGAAATGATACCCAGTTCGCTTCGCTGACGGAGCAAACTCGTCCATAATCTCACCGGACACGGACACGGACACGGACACGAACGCGAACCTGGTCATGGCCATATATCCAAGCCTCCCCACTCCACCCCTCCAAGCAAAGCCAACCCGCTCGACTACCAAACCGCCCAAGGGAAAAACTCGCCCACGGGCAAAACCCAACCCCTCCCACATATAAACGCCACACCCGCATACCAGCAGGGGATGTGTTTGGGTGTTTTCTCTCTCCTTGTCCTTTTGCTCCGGTCCAACTGGCCGGGTCCTTGTTTTTCTATTTCTTTTCCAAGTCTGGAGTTTGGGTGTATGGGGGGGTTGGGGAATGGAGATTGGGTGGTTGGATGTGGAGGTGGTTGGGTGGGTGGGTGTATATATGTCTGGGTCTGGAGTTGGGGTTGTACAGAGAGGGAGGGAGGGATGAACTAGTGGGTGTTGTACAGAGAGGCATGGACTAGTGGATATTTAGTGCGTAGTCTTGTGGGATGTATAGTGTGCAGTCTTGTGGGATGTATAGTGCGTAGTCTTGTGGGATGTATAGTGTGCAGTCTTGTGGGATGTATAGTGTGCAGTCTTGTGGAATGTATAGTGCGTAGTCTTGTGGAATGTATAGTGCGTAGTCTTGTGGGATGTATAGTGTATAGTCTTGTGGAATATTTAATGTGTGTACTCTTGCAGGGTGTTTGTTGTGTATATTCTCAATGTAAGAGGCACCGTATGCCTGACGAGCACTTGTAAAACCTCGAGTATGAATTTGACTAGGCCTGGACAACTGGTGGATAAACGAATTAACCCCATTGTTCAATCTCCTTGCTTGGTGGACAGGTGAATGGCAAGAGCTTGGCTTGGGTGATTACAATTGTTATCATGAGGATATTTTCTGACATGGCATCCCGCATAGTATACATTCCTAGCCATTTTCAAATGGTAGGCAGTCCTCTCCATCTCCTTCAACCAGCATACGCCACGCCGGGCCGGGCCCCTATCTCCTCTCCAAAACATCCTTTGCTCCGTCCTTGAGCCGCTGCGCCGCCGCAACCACTGCATCCTTGTTCAGCGCGAAATGCTGCGCTAGACGATCCTAGATGGTAGTATTAGCATCCCATTCACGTCTCAGGCAAACAACCACAACATCAACATCAACATCAACATCAACATCAACATACCTGCTCAGCCCCCTCCCCAGACCCCGCCAGCAACTTTGCCCGCTGCTGCCCATCATACCCCAACCCATGCCAGCTCGCCTGCGCAGGCCCCTTGGCCGCATAACTGGCCGCCGCCCTACCCACAAGCCTCGCATCAAGCGAGTGCAGCGCAGGCGAAAAGTGGGCATTGTAGCGATCCTGTTCTGCACCCGGGGCTTGGTAGTGAGAAGCATCCTTTGCGTAGCCTTTGGCGGCGTCTTTGGCGTCTCCGGCATAGCTCTTCACCTTGTCCATGCCCGTGGCTAGGCTCGAGTTGAGCTTGTCGCTCGAGGCGGCAAAGTGCTGGCCGTAGCGGTCTTGCTCGGCGCCGGAGCCGGATTGCGTGGTTATGTCTGGGGTGGTGGGGTGGCGCTCGAGGACCGATTTTTCGGTTGAGGAGCTGAAGAGGCCCATTTTAGTTTTGGGGGGATTGGGTGGTGGGGAGGGAGGATGTGGGTGGGGGTTGGTGGGTGGAATTGATGGCGACGAGTGTTTGCTTCAATTGGGGTCTCGTTGGAATTGGTGGATTGTGTGTTTGACGTCGATGAAGAAAGAAGCAAGAGGAAGAGGGGGGAAGTCTTGTGTTGTACGTTTTCCTTTGGAGCGTTGACTGCAGACCAGAGGCAAAGGCAAGCAAGAGGTAGGAAGTATGAACGGGCAAACAAGGGTGATGGAACGCCTAGCTATGACGTAGTTAGCCATTCCGCCCTCCCCCCTTATCCCTCTCCACTGCAGACCCCGGTTTTGTGCCGGGCACATCGTCATGCACATGTCACCTCGGCCCAACCCCTCGGCCGTTCTCTTTTGGCACGACATCACAGAGCCACAGAGGACTCTGGATGGGAAGTTTGGGTGGGAGTGGACTTACGAGTGGACTTACGGAATGATGATGCAATTGGGGGATGGAGTGGCTACTCGAGTAGGTAGTACCGGTAGGACTACTCTACTTGGTAGTTGTTTATAAACCGTCCATACTATGACCACCCCATCAGTCTCGTGCCGTGAAGTGGATTCCCTACTACTACCGTACTACCTAGCGAAAACAGTACCACTTCTTCGCCGTTCCTCCATCATCCTCCGCCTCCTCTCGGCCAACGATTCTTCGCCGCGCGGCTGGCGTTGTCGTCGTTCTTGGTCTTCCGCGCCATGGTTACGGTTCATGGTTACGGTTTAATTGAGTTCCTGTGCAAAATAGCGTAGAGGATGGTGGAGTATGGATTTGAGTGCAGCGGTATTTGTACAAGAGGACTCACAACGCAACTGCACTGGACATGAACAGCGGGTCCGTCAACGTTTGCGTCGTGGTTGTCATTGGGCAGAATCAAACCTCTTGTGAATCTCGGACGTGAGATTCACTCGTCACTGCGGTGGCTGGGGGTAGCCATGTGGATGTTGGGGGGTTAGCTGGGATCACAGATGCACACTGTTGAATGTTCATCAAGGGATTTTCATGGTCTGCACTTCGATCCTATCTACCCACTACCATCGGCTTTTCACGCCATCCAGTCTTTCCTCCCACCAACTATCTTTTGCTTTATCCAGGCTCCTATCCTCCCTCGCGGCGCGAGACCATTCTGTTCAGCTGGGAGCTTATTCTGGTCCATGGTAGACCCTTCTTCCCCACAAGCCCTGAACAAGTCATCCAATAATTCATAATCATCTGCAATCTCCTCATCCCTCGCATCCCCCTCATCAAGCTCAGTCTGACAATCAGATAGAATATCCAGCCCAAGTACATCCGTAATATCTTCAAACCCCTTACCCACCTCATCCGTTCTCGCTATACCTCCCACGGGTCTAACCCTGCACCGTCTCCTCCTCCTCTCCTGATCTGCAACGTCCGCGTGCACAGTAACAGACTTGCCTGGCGTGAGCATGTCCTCTGCCAGCATGTTCCTCCTTTGGTTTTCCTCCTCTTGCAGACTGCATTTGCGTTGCTCGTTGTAAGGCGTGCTGGGAGTTCTAGGCAGAGAGGATAGGGGGTATGTGGGGGTAGTGGGTGCATGTGTAGGAGAATCAGGGCCACAGGGGCTGTTGCTCGCTAACGACACAGCTTCGAATACGCGCGTACATGTATACCCGGGATGTCTGGAATCGGGCTTGTCCCTGTGTAGTTGAGAACTGCGGCCGGGAGGTGAAGGGCGGGGTGCACATGCGTTTTGAGGTCTTGCAGGGAGAGTGGTTGAGGGTGGGCGTGCGTCGTGAGAAGTTTGATCTGAAATCATTGTAATTTTGAAAATACCATGGAAAAAAGAAAAAAAGTGGTGTCTGTACTCATATGCTGATTCACTGCCATGAAGAGATATCTGAAACACAACCTCATGTCTGATAAAGAAACAACCACGCAGTTTCACCGCGGAACACAAGAACATGTTGGAAGACAGCGCATGTGCTAGATATCCCCAGAATAGGAGAAAGCATCACGTATGGGATATAGTAGACTTGCCAGCTGGAATCACACATGAGCATGGCATTCACATATGATGTGCTTGTCGGAGTGAGTGACATGGCATTCGCTTCACCCACGCAAAGTAACATGCTAAACGCCCTTCAAATCCTCTCCATATCACAGGTTTTACAAATACCTAATGTCGTTCCTCTGACAAAGCGCTGTCTTTCGACAGATAATTACTTCGACATGAATGACGCACGCCACGATGCTCTGACAACAGGTCTCACCAGACTACCGCAAACAGCGTGGGTTTTTATAACGATATTGATACTATAGACGACGTAAATCTACCGTTTCTACCAACAAACCAATTCCTATCATTTCTAACTGTGATACAATTTCTCCGACGGTTAAGGATGCTTGGGATATTTTGGGTCCTGGGGGATGTGTGCGTAGACGGGATGGGGGATTTGCCTATCGTGCGGCCATTTACTCTTAAGTGGGCTTTACCAGTATTCGCTGGCGGACCCCCACAACACCGACATTTTTTTTATTTGTTTGCTGAGTCTGTAGTTTCATATTGCATGTCCTTCTGGGAGCGCAAAGCACCCAGTAGCCGGTCTCCCAGGCGTCGTCGCTTACGCGTGTCTGGAGATCCGGTGGTGGAAGCTTGAGGTGGGCAATGGGGGCTCTGAATCGTAGGATCAATGTCGGAGGTAGTGTCAGTGACATTGTCAGTGCCAGTTCCAGTGTCGGCTCCATTCAATCCATGAGCTTGACCAGACGCCTTTCTAGGACAAAGTCCAGTGGTTGTGCCAGCGTGTGCGCTTGCGAGGTTGGAAAGTGATTCAGAGATTGAACGGAGAAGACGATGAGAGCGGGCTGGTTTCTTGGCTGGTGTAGAATCGGAGACATGTGTGTGATGGTGTTGGGTTTGGGCGTGGTGGATATCGAGGGTGCGCTTTAGGGAGGGGGAAGGGTGAAAGCTGCGTTTGTCGTTTTGTTTGTTGGCGCGGCTGGTGTGCGTGTTAGGCGCAATTTCATCCAAGTCTGTCGTATCCTTGTCCTCTTCCTTCCATCGGTAGAGCGGTGAGGCTGCGCGATCAGCAGTCGACTCAAAGTGGACATGCTTGGCTACAGGTACACCAGCTGGATACGTGAAGCCATAAATACGAGTGCTTTGCTCCGAGATGCCTGCACCATAATCGCGTAGCTGATAGCGCTCTAGAGTCTCTAGCGGAGACATGCCAACAACGGCAGTGTTGAAGCAAGACCAGGGTGAAGTCTGGGGATAAGCTGTACTACAGCCAGTCTTGACCTCCAACTCCGGCGTCTTGGGGTCGTGTGTATTCCAGGACTCGGATTCAATTGTCGATGTAGAGTCTGTGGAGAATTTGGGAGGGTAAGATGGACTGAAGGCAGTCTTTGTCAGTGGCTCTAGCGTCTCCGGATCGTATGGGTTCCAGGACTCGGATTCTACTGTCGTACCGGAGTCTGTGGAAAGCTTGCGCTCATGTTTTGTGAGAGACTCTATATTGGGTGTAACTCCATGTTCTTTTTTGAACGTGGTGCTTCCCGAGGTGTTCAGCGTGTCGACGGGTGACTTCGAGATTGGAGTGGTGATTTTAGAGTTTTTGGTGCCGGTTGGACTGGGAGTGGAGATTTGAGACATTTTATGAGAAGGATGAGATCAATGGTTGAGAGATTATGTTTGATTGTATGTGAGAGTTGTGAGAATTGTGCGATGGAGAGGAAAAGAGGTAGAGCGGGAAAGAGTATATGAACATAAAGGTGCGTGTAGAAAGTGAAAATTGCGCACATTGTCCCAAGACAATGTGGTTACTATCCCAGTCAAGATCATGGAATGTGACATTATGCTTTCACTGTACCTGGTAGGGCTCAGGTAGGGACTCACCGTACCTGCACATTCAATGTCACGGTGAAAGGCTGACGGACGCAAGAGCCACACCCGATCAACTATATAGTAGGATCCAATCTCCTCCCAAGAGCTCACTTCCACCAACAGTCTCTCAACCATACAGAAATTGCAGATGAGTCTTGAAACAAGGTAGTTGTTGAGCGCACATTGCGTTTGCCCCCAAATGTTGACCCTCAATGCCGAGGCCCTCGCGGCGCTGGAGGGGACTAACGAACATAATTCGCATCAATATGATCCAGCAGTTCAACGCACCGAAGAGTGGGTTTTCATCGACACTCCAGCAGCACATGTCAGTGTTCTTCAACAATCCTCTCGAGAGTCGAAGTGTTCAGTCTATAGCGTGGATAGCCAGCCTGTGAGCACCGTCGACCCTTTGGCAGCACTTATCAGTGCTTATCAACACTCCCCTCCAAAGTCGAAGAGCTCAGTCTATAGCGGGGACAGCGAGCATATGAGCAGCGTCGACATTCCGGCACCACTTTTCAGTGTTCGTCAACAATCCCCTCGAGAGTCGAAGAGGTTAGTCTATAGCATGAACAGTGAGCATATGAACATTGTTGGAAAGAATACAATTCTCCCCGAAGGAGGTCAGGATATCATTCGCAAAGACGACGAGGCTGACGATGAGGCTGACGGCAACGGCTCTGCATTATCTGAGGATGTCGATTCCGAGAATGCAAAGGACATTTCCCTCGAACTCAGCAATCACAAGACTACATTAGGTGACTCGGTCAATACCTCCGCTTTACGAGACCGCCTTCAAGCTATGGGTGCCACTTTCACAGTTGCTGGTGAGCTTCTTACATACGGTAATCCTGATTCCGAGTCGGCCTTTCAGGAGATGGTCCTTCATCTTGGACCACATTACGATACTGAGTGGAACGTATCCTTTAGAAGCCCGAAGCCTAGAGCTGATAGGTACCTGTGGCCCGACCTTCGCGTCTTGAAGAAAGTACTCGGCAATGAGGATGTGCTGTTCAACATCCATCACGAGCGTCTTACATCTGGAGACTCCAGTCCCAAGATGCTCCGACTCGGAAAAGCCTACGATTTGATGTTCCAACAGTGGCTTGAATTTATGGGAGCCGTTCTCCACAGCAGCGATGATCAAGAGCTAGGAGAATCGTCTTCCCAAGCACCCGGCGTCATTGGTTCGAAAATTCCAGATGCCCCAATGAAAGATGTAGCCCAAGCTGTACCAACTCCGATATTGGGTTACATGGCTCGTGATAACATCTCCACATGCTCTGAAGTACCACGCAACCTTGGATGGCGTTTCAGTGACGAAGAAACTTCGGTTCCTGGTTGGTGCGAACCACAGCCATTGGACTTCAGTACCCCTACGGATGGCAACCGAGATGACCATGGGAACAACAAAGCAAAGCTCTTGGCTGATGTAGACCAACAAGTTCATCCTGCATTACGAGCAGTTCCAATTCATGACTTCGGCATCGTCCCGGCTTCTGAGGTAGCGTCTGGTCATCCGTTGGACGTGGAAAATCAAGTTGAGATGACTTTACAAGATGTGCTCTCAGTCGGCCCTCCGAACGGAATCGAGGAGCCTGAGCCGGACAAATCAACTCCCCCTCAGGCTGTAGAGTCTATCGACGGAGCCGGGAAGAATGCAACTCCAAAGATGAAGAAGACCAGTCGAATTTCTGGCATCTTGAAGAAGGCCATCATCCGGGGCAGTCAGAAAGCGATGCCTGCTCAGTTCTAAGTAGACAGGTCGAGCTCATAGAGGTGGTAAGTTTTACAAGAAGATATCTATTTCTTCATCAACTAGAATTTCACAGTAGTTATTGCATCTGACTGCAACAGATCTGCTGCGGCCTACAGAGCATGGAAATCCGAAAAACATGGCAAAATTCTTGGAATAGACAATGTATTACGTTAATCATCCAAATTGAGCTGGCATATAGACATTTTAGGTTTTCATTCAAATAGAAATTCAGTCTTCTAATCTAGTTAATATTGCGAGTGAAATGTGAGTCTGAAGTGAGAAAGCACATGGACCTTGGCGACACCGGATACTCGGACCCCCCTCACTTTGGGGAGCACGCTACTCTCACGTTTTGATCATGGTCTGATCGGGGGACATACATTCAGTATGCCTTGCATGGATCAGCGCTCTCATTCTTCGGCTACTCTCATTCAGTCCACAACGCGCGAAGGAATCCAAGCAAGATCTTGTTGCAACTTACGACTGGATCCTCTCCCAACCTTCAAATTATACCTACGCTATACCTTATTCAGTTGGCAGATCAGCGCTGAGGTTACCAACGAAGTCGTGGCTGAAGGCCCCGCATGGTCGTACAGTCGTCGGGCAGCAGCCTGGAAAGCAACCCAAACTCGGGGTTTTGCTAGACAGCACTTGAAGCCTTTTGGGATGCATTGCCACTGTTGCCTGTTTGGCGCATTGTACAACAGATAAGGTATGTAGAGCCGTTTTGCGGTACACTGAATTACTTACGCGCGTCAGCCACAGAACGGGTTTACGAAGGTACCTATGTCTTCCAGCGATGGCGAAGATCGGCAGCCAGCTGACGCTGAAGAGCATCTAAAATGCCATCTGTAGCTTCGAGGCAGCTCCCCAACAAGGACCATGTGACAAGAAGCTTAACTTGTGGAGGAGCTAGAAAAGCATCGGAGTCACCTCGCATAATTAGGCCATCAATCCCACTACATAACTTGATTTGGTATGTCTGTATCCCTAGTCATCCGCTAATTTAGAGAAGAAGCAGCGCATGCTATTACTGTACCAGACAATCTCGACCATACAATCATATGCAACGGGGCTAGATGCTTGATCACTAGTCACTAAGAACATTGAAGAATGCAGGCAGTCCGTACAAGATGGCAGGGGAAACAAAACTAGGCCTTTCTTCTGCATATGTTGTATGACAAGGTGTGACTGGCTGGATGTAACTTCCGAGGTGGAGACAGTAGTATACAATATTAGTTTTGAAGCAAGTAGAATCAAGGCGTACTCATGCAATGCATATTGGAATGCCTTTCAGTACATAGACATGGGTGGAAATACAAGAGTGAACACGACAGGCAGATAGACTGGGAGCATTCTTTGTAAGTTCCTTGTATATTCATAATAAAAAAATTCTATCAGCATTTGCGAGTGAGTAAGTTGATAATTTAGCAGAATAGCGGGCAATATTGACTGTATTGAATTGGGAAGCTCAGAAATATCTCGAAGTACATTGTGGTTGGGGATACTCGAGTGTGCTACAGGTACGTCTTAGCCTTTGATCTACTCACAACTGGGATCAATCCCAGGGACCTGCGGCTCCGTTTCGTTCCGCGTCTGAAGCCATTTTCAGATGGTAACACAAGGTGAGTACCGGGGGTTAGATGAGAAAATTCCATATTCTACTCGACTTGTCTGCGAATTCGAGGTGATTCCTTCTCCTAGAAGCTAAAACTTGGCTTATACAAAAATTTGGCATAAACTGGATAATCGTTGATAATCAATGTCTGGCAAATACTGTAAACATACAGGTCCTATTCGTCTGGATTGAAGCAAGATCTAAGATAGCAGTAATACAGGGGTCACCCTGTTCATGCACGGCAAGATTCGTTATATATTCTTGCCCTCTCTTGGAATCATGTAATCTAGGTAGCCAAGCATGGCACACTCTTCGGCCGCAAACCGGTCCGAAGTAAAAGTCTCTCAACCCCCAACTCTTCCGCATACCTGGGTACGAAGTTGCAGTCTCAGGTATTCAAAAAAAAGAGTCAAGACCGCATCCGCTAATCGGTCTGGAATCTCTGCCAATTAACAACACAACGAATCTGCAGGGATCAGCATGGCCGTGCACATCATACTAGTTGACTCACAGTGTCCAGCGGCCATCCGACCCTATACTCCGCGGCAGTCTAGTGTCTGGAAAATTGTTGGATAACAGTGCATTCTGTGTAAAGTCCGAGATCTTAGATCTCCCTCCCCTCGCTTCACTATGAAGATTCAGGAAACCTTCGCCACAAAAGGGGGCCGCGGAAGCAAGACCAACCAAACCATTTGCATGGTGCAGCATGCATGTTAAGTGGCGAAGCATAAACAGAATATCGGGTATGAAGAGCTGAGTGGATATTGAGTAATATGCTCAGGCCCTGCAAACACTTGGCTCGTAGCGCAGGATTCCGCCATTGCAGGTGCCGCACCAGCGTCATGCAACTATGGCCATCTTTCCCACCCTGTGAACGAATAGCAGAAGGCAGACGGCTATGGATGATGCGTTTCAAGAAGCTTTTGTATGTCTGGAGGGTAAGAGGTACGAGAGTGAGAAGAAACGATTCGCCCAAGTCCAATGGGCAACATGTCAAGTGGCTTCCACGATTCTTCATCAAGGGAGGACGATCCATGATGGAACTAGCGAATCGTTCAGCATGTGACTAATTTCGTAAATCTAGAGCAGCGGAGGAAGAGAGCCGCGGAGACGCGAGCTGTGGGATACCGCTTCTGCAAATCTAGATGAATGTCCAAGTTTCGGAGGTGGAGAAAAAGTGTAATGTTGCTGCGTGATAAACATGGGGGTATCATTGAAGGCGGGGCATTGAAGGTGGGCATCACAAGTCGGTTGCAGCAAAACGTGGCTCTTGCGCATGTAAGTCTGGCCAAGTCGGTAAGGGAGTCATCCTACTGATGCAGTTGTCAAATTAGATGGCCAACGTTTGATCTCGAGGTGCCATGCGCAATCTATACGTTATCTAATGTTTGTCTAGAGTATGATTCAGCGCGGGACAAGTCATCGATAAAGGGCATAAGATCTTTGCATCGGTGGTGAAATACAAGAGTAATGTGATGATGGTAGCAAGACCCTAGGAATACCGGTACCGGTACCTAGGCGGACAGATTTTCTCATGGTAGAGTAGAGTAGATGTAAAGCACCCACCTTGCGTGTAGTACCCGGGAATATATTCTAGCCCAGAGGATATAAGCGCGGTGGACCGCGGGTGCTTTGTCACAGGTGCATACGTAGTGCTCTGAGCGGTTCAGAAGAGACGAGCATGGTCCATCTTCCAGGGTCACAAAGGCACGCACAGAACTTTCGGCCGTTGATTCGCTTCATAAACGACAACCAGGAGCGGCTCATGCAATAGCTTCTTCAAGCCAGCATGTAGTAGTAGTAGTAGTAGTAGTAGTAGTAGTAGTAGTATACGAGTAGTATCCATCTAGTTGCCTGGAATGAGCCGGCCTTGATCGGCTCAGGTCATGTGGTAGGTATAGGTGTAGGTATAGGCAGTCAATGGTGCCACCACATCTCATCGCCCTCCAGCGTTATTGCAAGTCCCTCATCCAAGTAATGCTGAGGTATTGCTATATCATCAAGTAAAGAGAAAGAATTCACACGCGTGCAAGAAGTAGTCGGAAGGGCGGGCTACCTTACCGTACCGTACCTATTGGTGCCGCGCTGATGTGATCCGGTTGGAAGGACTCCCACTTCCGAGACCTCATCAGCAACTACTGATGCCATACCGGTAACGGTAGATGATGGGAATTGGCACCTACCGCGGAGCCCAACGGTGAAATCTGCGATGCGCAAAGTGCGATGGGCGTTTGTCATGTGCGTCATCCAGCAAAGTATTCCAATGTCGCAGCAAGGCTGACATGTTGCTACGTGCACCATGGTACCGTAGGTACCGTCGTGCAGACATGGGGGGTCGTCCATGTTCTGGCGCGCGTTCATCTCCTTCTTGCACAACCATCACTTGCACATGTTGCGTACCTGTTCTACTCTACTCTATACTCTAGTCCTTCGGGTCGTGCAACGCGAACGGGAGAGGGAAATGACAACTCATGGCCGGCTCCTTCGCGCCATGCAGGCCCGCCAGCCACTCAGCACATGGACGTGCCGCCGGTGGGGCTCAACTGCAGAGCGGCAAGCGCTTCTCGCGGAAGAGAATCTCTTGCCTAAATAGGGTCGGGTTTCTTCATCAAGCACCGCTCATGTATTCCGGAGACAAGTCCGACACGTATACAATCAGTCTATCACGCACACTCTCTGTACATGGACAATGACAATATCTGACAGTACGCTCTGACAAGAACTACAAGTGTACCGGTACCGTTGAACCGCTCGCTGACGCCTCACAGATGACAAGCCTACACCATACCAGTTCGTGACCGCGACCAAGCCTTCGCACTGTAAGCCAGAGCACCATGTACAGACTTCTTGGTGCACTGATATTGATTCTACTTCTCCCCAGTCAAGGACAAGAGTGCGAATAAGATTGTCCGTTCACAAGCGACGAGTTATGTTAGACGCAAAGCGTCTCTTCTGAAAAAGGCTAGCCAGGCCGCTGTTGAAGATGTCAGTGAAGAGAGTCGAAGGAGTAGTAAGACTACCGGGCCCCGCCCGGAAACAAACTACAATAGCAGTCCTCGTCTTCTTGACCACACAGCATCCGACGAGCAGTCCCACTTGTATGCGCAAAATCTGCGATCATTGGCTGCAACGTCGGCAGTGAATGACGAGAAATACGCGAAAGGCTTGCGCGTCCCAATACCGGTATCTGCACCGAGCGAGCCTAGCTGGAAAACTCAGTGTGGTGAACAAGTACAACATGGTACAGATGAAACACTCGATGGAGGGAGAAATCTGGACACAGAGGAACTCAAGATGAGGATCTTAATCAGACATCTCGCTAAATGTTCTGCTCATGGCAATATGCCCGATCCTTCTGATATTCTACCCCGCTTCGTTAACCCACAGCTAAACTCGATTTTCTTCATTCGTCACTGTAAGTACGACATGTATACATCAGACAAGCGCTTCCTACCTCTAATCTACATTCAAGGCCTTCGCACGTTTGTGACCATCTCGACCATGGAGGGATGGCTACCTGCGGTTCTGAATGACCCCCATCTGATACTCAGCTCAACGCTCATCACTTCCGGTTGGCTAGACATGCAGGAAGGTATTCGAGGCGAAAGTGTCAGAACCTGTATGGTAAAGGCTGAAGTCTATGCCATGGCTGCGGGACATCTACACAATCCACATGTGACGCTCAAGGATGCTTCCATACTGGTCGTTGATAATCTACTCATGGGAGAGATGTGGGACCTTGATGAGGACCATCTTCGGATGCACCAGAACAGAATTGCGTATCTCGTGCAACAGCGAGGTGGAATGCAGAAATCAGAAAACAAGACCATACTCGAGATCTCTGCAGCGTGAGTGCGCCTGTTTTCCAGTAATATTGCTATATTGACAAAGTGAAGGTGCTGCTTCCACACGGATCTGATATGCAATACAGACCCCTCGCCTATCTTTGAGGAATGGGACCCACAAGATATCTGTCCAGATCCTTTCAGTCATTTTGTTGAATCGCCCTTCTCTAATCAGAATACTGGTTCGTCAGTTCCCAAGCCTCTTGTTCAATTAATATGCGATATGCGGGATCTGGGAGACCTATTCATAGGCTGCGCCACAACCATGTCCAATGTCGATACTGCGCAACATAAGGATACCACTCGCATGAGCTCTTCTGCTTTTGAATTGAACACATGGACTAGCGAGATGATTGATCGCCTCATTAATCTACCTTCAGCCTCGGAAGCAGGGCATCTCTTCACTGACGATTGGATCTACGAAAGCTGTCGGATTGCTTCTTTGATATACGCGGCGGCCATCAAGGTACGGATATCTTTCCCTGAGGCTGCTGATCCAACGCGGAATTCGCTGTACGCTGAATCTGTGAGGTTGTCTGGTGGCTCAAAGTGCACGACGTCTTTGAGTGTTCTGTTATTTAAGACGCTGGAGCGCACAGATATTGAAAATACGTGGGGGGATCTTGCGGGTGTTCTTTATTGGGTTTGCAGTATTGGAGCAATGTCTGCTCGCACGACTACGATGGAACAAGGGGCGAGTACAGAGTTTGATATCTGGGTCCGACGGTGTCTCAGCATGCACGCGTCTCGCCTTTTGATCATGTTAGCATTTCAATACTCTCTGCCGATGGCGACAATGGCAAAAAAGTTGCTCAAAGTGAGGCAGCTAGTGGCACCAACAAGACACAGGGTTTGTATACCATCTTCTAAATAATATCAAATGTTCAAGCATGTACATGAATTCCAGCCTATTCCATCTTGAAGAGTATCGTATAAACTTGACTGCTTGGTATAAACACGAGTGTAATTGACACCAAGAAACCGAGCATCATACCACACCTACAAATCACCTCAACAAAGCTAGCGCCGACATTCTCGTGAAGCAAACCATGATGTACACGACTTGAAGCTTTGCCTACGATTCATGTCTGCTCTGAAACTACGCGTTACCTACAGGCTGTGGCCGTCGGTAACCTATCCATGGTAGATTTGGGTTGTACAGTCTCTGTGTCCTGTTCGGCTGCTAGAGCTTGAGCAAGATTTGGAAGGTGTCACGGCATCAATCCATGTATCCATGGTGCGCACTGCAGGGCTACTATAGGTAATACATGCCGTGGCAGAGAAGTGTAAGTTGAATGCTCCTCATTCCCATTTTGCGTCTCACCCTCAGTAACGACCCCGATGACTTCACAACACCAAACAGGATCGCCACATGGCTATGTAAAGTAGATCATGCTATTACAAGCTCTGTTTCATTTCCGCCGGTTCCGCACAGGACTTGACTTATAAAGGGAGGCACCGATTCAACACCGTTCGGGAACGTCGGGACTCGGCATGCGGTGCTCCGGCATTCCCGCTCCACATCCGTGCTCCGGTACCGTACCGTAGGCAGCACCCATGGTACACAGTATTCCCGCTCCCCGAGATAAATCTAGCAGACTTTTGTCCGCTCTGCTGTATATCAAAGAAATAATTTTTCCGATGCGCGTGTCTGTGGACGCCTCAAGAGCCAGCCGGGCTCCAGTCTTGTGGGTCACGATGCTGAAAAGCTCCTGTGTCTGACATCTGACAGCAAACTAATGGCCCTAGGGGTGAGAGTATGACGATGATGAGATTCTACCACGTGCTTCGGATTGGTAATGAATTGGATATCAAGATGGCTGGTCCGCTCGCTTGCTTTTGAAGGCAAGGGAAAGGTGTCCAAACCCATTCTGGCCGACTGTTGGGTATAGAGGTCAGACTTCTGTCAGCGTTGCGGCAGGGCGCGGTATGTAACTGTCCTTTATGCGCAGACTTGATGATTAATCCACTCCCCTATCGAAAGCTTGAAGGTGCATTCATGGGGATGTGCACAAGGATTGCGATTCTGGAAATGACGCATGGCGGACAGGGGCGCACTGTCTACCTATGCTCTAAGAATCCATAGTGTGGTAATGTGGGCAGTAGGGCGGAATACTATATGAAAATCATCGTCTCGCTAAGTCTGGGCATCCGGTATTGCCAATACCTACCCTTCAACGTCAGTCAAAAATTTGCTTGTTAGCAGGCTTGGACTTCGGTAGCATTGTGTTTTGGATCAGGGTTTGGCGTAAACATTTCGAATTGATAGCACACGCGTGAGATGACGGCCCCAAGATGTAACAGCCTCTTTGTCTGGCCGAATGGCCGGCCACAACCAGCCATGGTCCCCGCCCAAGGCAGTGACGGATTACCCCGTTACGTGCGTGGCCTGAATGGATCTCACATGGCGGCTACCCAGTTCGTCCGAAATAGCGGAGCAGTCCATAATAGTAGTGAGTACCTAGGCCAGTGTTATTCCCTGCCATCCGATTTGGTGGGCTGAACCACTCAGATCGAACATGTCTCTGCAAAGACAGGGATCTTCTAAAAAAAAAGCGAGAATTAGTATAAAAGTATACATGACCCAATGTGACGAGAGACGCACACTAAAATCATCGTCGCAGTCAGTCTTGGACTTGGCTTCTCCCTCGTTACCACCATGGCGCTAGTAACACGTCTTCTGATGAACAAGCACTCGAACATTAATGGAAAAGAGAAGATCTATACTCCAGACAACACTTACGAACGTCAAAGTCAACTTGCAAGCATCTCCAGTTCCTGGAGGCGACTCTTTGCTCCCAGGAAAGACACAAAAGGCCAATGGGTTCCTTCCTTGTCAGGCATCCTCAAGGCTGGAGACGAGGGCTCATTCTCCTCGGCTCTGTTCATAAATCTCCAAGAATCACCTGGCAATGTTCCGGTGGACGTGTTGTATGACGCGTTTGCCAACGAACTAAGGTCTCGCCCATTGGCAGAACGAACATCGTATACTGGAGACGTTATCAAGTTCATCTCGGAGAGCAAGAGGAATGGTTCGATTGGTGTGAGTAGGGCAAAGTCGGTATCGCACAGGGCCTCTGTCGGAGGACCAAAGGACATGACGTTGAAGACTAGGAAGAGCATGGATCTGTCCGCAGTCGAGATGGGGTTGACTAGGGGCATGTCGATCAGAAGGCAGAACTCTTTCGTTGTTTCCATGAGCAATGGGATGAAAGAGGAGGGTGAAGAGAAGATGAAACCTTCTTGGATGAAAGATGGACAGAATGCGACATATCACGATGGCCAGAGAGATGTTCAAATGACAGCATCAGAACTTGCGGCGCTCTCGATCATTTTGGGAAGCCCATTGAATCGCAGTTCAAACACCTCGTTCAAAAGAGGAGCATACGGACTATCGATTCATTCAGTGAAGACGGTCGATGGCAAGCGCCAAGTAACGCTTCAAGAACACAAGCGCAGCATATCGCAACAACATGCTCAAGGGAAGGGGCCTTCACTCCTTTTCTCAAAGCATCTCGCTGCA